ACCCGCACCACCAATCGCACCTCACACCCGCACCCGCACCCGTACCCGCACCCGTACCTGCACCACCAATCACACCTCACACCCGCGCCTTATAACCGTACCTCCCCGTGCTTGCACAATAGAAAACATGCGTTTCATATGTCTTGAAAATAGCTATGTATGTATGTATGTACGTAGGTATGTATGTATGTATGTATGTATGTATTTTTCTAAAGTTGAAGTTGCTGCAGTGGCCCTTTGGGCGGTTGGCTAGGCCTTGTGCCTCAGTTTGTTGGGGTCAGGTCTCAGAGGTACTCCACGTCCATGTAGGCTTCATCTTCGCCCGTTTCTTCCGTGCTTGACTCTGGTGTCATTGCCGGTGGAGTTGCTTCCTCCCGTGGTGAATGGGGCGCGTATTGCCCTGCGTGTTGGCTTCTGTTTGAGCTTCGCGCTCCTTGGTTTCCGTGCGGAAATGGAGCCTCTTAGGCGTGGGCCTCCTGGTGCGCAGAGACTGGTGCTCCTTACTGAGCTCGGGGCTTGCGCTGGCCGGCTGATCTTGGCTCTTGCTGGAGTCTTGCTTTTTGAAGAACTCGCTGATGGGTGGAGTTCCTTTCTGGCCAGCTCCTTTGCACTGTTTGCCAAAAGCTTGCGTGGTGATGATCCTTTGTTGGCTGTCGAGGTTCCATTGGATCCCGCACTGGAGACAACTGATCTTTGCCCCTTTCTGCCAAAGCGTGTGGGAGGGATGGCCCTGGTGTGGTGTGACATAGGCCTGGTCCACACATGGGCTTTGGATGAAGTCACTGAAAGCAGCTTCATTGGTCCTTTTGTGGATGTTGCGTCCACACTTGGGGCATTTAAGATAGCCTGTCGTCTCTGCATATTGATGTTCATGTTGACTTGGTGGTTGGGTCTGCTGTTGAGCAAGGATGTTCTGGATGTGTTGTGCCCTGGTGACTTTTTTGGGCAGTGGTTCAGCCTGGCTGGATGGTGCCGCGCGGATGTCCTCGATCTGCAGCTGTGGACATTCTTCACGCAGGCGCTCCTCCAGTACATTGGCGGTGAGTCCTTGACGCACGCGGGTCCCACAGGCCATGCATTGATAGCCACTTCGATGCGGCTTCCATCTATGATGGGAGTTGGTCCATGGCTTTTTGCACTGGTTGATGAGGTCCTTCTTGCGCTGTTTGGTGTGTTTGCCCTGATGTCGTGGTGCTTTGGCGCGGATGTAGTGAGTCTTGTCCCCATAGATCTTGGCCAGTCGTTCGGCGGCATGCTGGTAGATGAGCGCATGATCTCTGTCAAGAGTGTCCTGCCATTCACTGGCCTTTTTGTCATGTAGACCATTGGCCCTTTCCCAAGCCACGATGGCCGCATCTCGTTGCCTTCTCCTCAACTGAGGTTCACTTCCTGGTGCTTCGAGGGATCTTGTGTTCTTGCTCACATAAAGGACTGTGACCCTCTGCAGATCTTGTTCTGTGAGGTTCTCAAACAAGTCTGTGTATGCCTGCCGGTGGTGCTGCTGTGTCCATGCTTCCCAGACCCTGGTGAGTTGGACAATTACTCGGACCTGGGTGGTGGTGTGTTTGGCCAGCGCAGCTAGGCCAGCAAGGAGGGCCCTGGTTTTGTTTTGGGGCCCCGGTGGTACGCCTGTCATGGCCCCGAGTCGCTTCAATTGCCCCAGATTTATGGCGCGCGCGCCAAGGCCGAACACCCATAGCTGGCCGCGGGCGTCGTAGGTGCTGGGCGTGGCGTCGAGGGTGCTTGGTGTGGATGTGCGCCTACGGGCTGTAGTGTTTGCCAAGTTCCATGTCCCTGCAAGGGATGTACTTGTTGGCGGAGGTCTTGAGGCTCCATGCAGGGGTATCCAGCCTGCACTCCACGCGGTTCTTCTTCAGGGCAGTTGATGCGTGGCATCCACGCTGCTCGCATAGGCTCATGGTCTTGCTGTTTGTGCCATTTACACATCCAAATGATCTGTTTTGGAGTGGCCGGTACTTGGCAAATTGGGCGTGTTTTGGGTTTGCTGGCTTCTCGGTGTTGGACTGCTCCTTGTACCCATGTGGCCAGATGTTGGCGCTGTCTGTTTGGCAGCTGCTTGCTGACTTGTCTGTAGGTGTGCCAATCAAGCCCTGTCAGCAGATGCTGATGATTGGGTCTGGACGCAAGTCTGCTTGTCTGTTGGTTCTTGGCTTCCAAGAGCAAGGCCTGTTCCAATTTCCACCACGGGTCCCTCAAAGTAAGGGTGTTGGCGTCAAGGTATGGTGTCTCGGGTCTTGTCCAGTGAAAAAGCTCCTGGACCGGCCATTGCCATTCTTGGAGATAGGCTATGGCTGCCGCCATGGGTCCTTTGACGATGTACCATGGATGGGCTTTGGCCTGCAGTTGCTGGTGGGTTTGGCTCCATGCCTGCTCTAAATAGCTCATCTGCTCTGTTGGCCAGGTTTGTACGAGCTGGTGGATCGCTCGAACGTGGTGAATGACCACTTGATCAGCCAGGTCAAGATAGCGGTTGCTGTGCAGGTCATAGGTGCTATCAAGGAGTCCTCCCTGGCGGTGTCCTAGTGTTTTGCAAGTGCTTGTCGCAGGCCTGTTCTGCACCGTGGGGCCAAACCTTGTCCTTCAATTCCCCACATGGCCACAGGCTGGATTCCACCTCGATGCAGTCGAAGGCGGATCTTAAGGGCTGGAATCTTCAGGTTGCGCAACTTGGTCTTGCGCTGCTGGGCTTTTCTGAAACGTTGTTTCAGCGCTGGGATTCGTCGCCTTCTGCCTGCTTGGTGGTCTATTCCGAGATCACGCATCACCGTGGCACCTGGTGGTTCATCTTCATGGAGCATTTCCTTCAGAGCTCTGTCAGTGATCCGGTCTGTGGCAATGAAGGCCGTTTTCTTGGAGTTGACTTTGAGGCCAAGTTCGACAAGTCTTTGATGTAGCTCTCGATAGGCAGCCACCGCATCCTTTGCCACCTGGACAGCATTTCGTCCTGCAGTGTCAAATCCTACATCATCAACCCAGCTGGAGAGATGCACTGCTGCATGGCGCTCCTTCCATGGCAGGATTGCCGGTGCCAGCGCTGCCTTGGCCAACAGGGGTGCTTGAGGGCATCCTGCTGGTATGCCTTGGTTGACCGTGAAAAACGCTGTCAGCTCCTGTTCTGCAAGAATTGCTTTGGGGCCGGTGTAGACCTGCATGGCCAATTCCAGCATCAAAGGATTCATGGCTTCTTCCTGCAGTCTGGTGAGCTGGATTGCGTCATAGAATGTTGACATGTCCATCAACACCGTGACACTGTGTCGTCCGTGGGCTTTGCGTGCTTCCTGTCGAAGGAGTCTGCCCAGTGCTACAAGTAGGACATTGGCTCCTCGTCTTGCTTTGTCATGGTCCATTTGCGGTGGGAGCTCTTTCTGCCATTGGTCAAGCAGAGACTTCCTGAGGCGGCACCAGACACGATAGAGCACCGATGTCAATGTGATTGGCCGTTCTATGGTTGTATTCTTAGCCAGCATCACAACCATATGCATTTGTTGTTGGGTTGGTCATTGAGCTTGCTGTTCCATTTCATGGTAGAGCTTCAGCAAAGGTACCAAAGACAGCGGTGGTGCTTGTTTGAGGAGCTGCGCTGATACAGCATCTGGTCCGCTGGCTTTTCTGGTAGCGCCTTAAGGACCCTGGCAAGGTGGCCAATGGTGATTGGCGGCAGTCGTTGCGCTTGCTTGCGCCTGCGTTTGTATGCTCGGCCTGGGATGTGGTAAATTGTCTTGTCTGATGTCCCAAAGGTGTCCCCAGTCTTGGAGTCTTCTGTCCATCCGTTGTGGTTGGGGGACGTCCCTGTAGGGTCTTTCCCAGGCAATTTCGCTACTTTTCAAGTTCCTGAAAAGTCCTCGTAATCCCTTGGCTTGTCCTTGGAGGAGCCATTCTTTGTATTGCAGATGGGCTTCATCATGCGCTGCTTCTTGGGCTGCTTGTTGCTGATGGGCTATTGTATGTTGGATCAGCGTGGCTGCATGTGGATCCCTATGTTTCTGCCAATGGTGGCATGTATCGAGGAGCTGGCCCCAGGTGGGTGTGCCAGTCCAGTGTTTGTGTGGATCTTGGATGGCCTGCGCGAAGCCTTTCGTGGGACCTCCTCTACGCGGCGGTGGTTGTTGTTGGGCGCACTGGAATCTGACTTGAAGCTGCTCCCAGTACGCTGGCCTCTTTTTTCCATGTGGTGGTTGGCTGGGAGGATACCAACGGCTTGATGACAGCCTGCAAGTTGGCTCCTCTTCCTTGTGGGGCCCAAGGGTGCTCTTGT